GATACGGACTGAGGCGCAACCAGAGAAAGGCGACAGAGACAGTGCTGCGGCTGGTGATGTTGAAATTAAAATCATATCCAAAGTTGATTCCTCATTAAGATAAGCCAAAGTTATTCAAAAGGGTATGTAAGAAAATATATTTTCTTTAGTTTTGTAAAATATAAGTGCCGTTGAAAGCTTTTGTTTTATCCTTGATTATTAATCAGGCTGCTCCAGCTGCCCGCCCCTGACAGCTGCCGCGCCGTAGTCTGCTACTGATAGTCCAGCTTCTCTTGAACCGCGTCTGTAGAGCCTTCCTGACTCAGTGCGAAATTCATTTTGAATTACAGCCCTCTGCGTTTCCTTCTGATCGAGCCAAGGTGGCCAATGTAATCTCTCTGTTAGCGGGAAAGGCCAAATTATGGGGAACGTCAGAGTGGTTGAATAATCCTGAACTCTGCAGCTCTTATAATAATTGTTCTTTGGAAGTAATCAGAGTTTTTTGCCCAGTATTCTCCTATCCCTGCAGAGATCTGCCCTGCAGCAGACACGCAGCCCCGCGCACCTGTTGGTGTTTAATAAACGTTTTAAACTTTCCCACTGCCTGTCTCGCCTCGAATTCTGGGTCCAATATTCTCATTATTATCATTACATTTTTACAGGTTTGCTTAAAAAGATTTATATAGTAGCCCATAATATAATAGTGAAACATAAAGTCAGGAAAATGTCTCATAGAAAATGTTTTTTATTTGCATTTCAAATCAATATATTACTGATAGCAAATGACATGTATCTCTTGGCCCTGGGAATATTACATGCCAGTCGCTGCTCCATTCAAGGCTACAACCTCATCGTTGTCTTGGAAAAACCGATGTGTAGACATTTACCCTCTTGTTCTCTGACAATAGAGTTCAAGCGCCGCTATAGTAGTAGCGGCATTCCTGCATTAAGTGGTTTGCTTAATTAATTGGTGATGTTTAGAACAGGATGACATAGAGGAACCCATTATATCCAGATTACGTTCTGGTCATACGTGGTTAAATAGTACATGATTTAAAATGGGAATAAACCGGATTAGCTCACTAACTTGCGCGTTGATCACATAACTGTGTTTTTCTCTCCAAAACACACAACTGCACCGCAGGCTTTGGAAGAAAAATCCAATCCATCACGGCGGGGCGGTGCTGATCCCCGCAATATTAACCCTTCATTTCGTATTGATGATTAAAAGTATTTATAACTACATTATTTTACAGTACAGTACAGTAGTTAACATTTATACCGTACTTTTATTTGTTAAACAAATGCTTGGGCCTGTATAAAGTTTTTATTCCCTGATTTCAATGTTGTAAGGAGTATTTCATCGTATGATAACTCTAAAAAAAAAAAAAAAGGTTTCTACTTCACGTATTTCACCTATCGCTGGTTCTTTTTGGAATGTAACCTCCGCGATAAACGAGGGTTCACTGTATTTAAAATGGAAATACTCCGGATTAGCTCACTGACTTTTGGGTGGGTCACAACCATCCCTGACAACAGTTTAGAAACGCCGCTATTCATCGCGGTAGCAAGCAGCATTCTTGCATAATGTGCCTAAAAAGCCTGGGGGGTTGGGCCTTTCATGCTTGTTGTAAGGCATCATAGCGTCCTTTTCCAGATCAAACTGAAAATTTTACCAGCTAGATGATAATAAAAATAACAAAAATAGTATAACAATACGCCTATTATTATCAGAGTAAGATATTGAGGCTGTAGAATGATAATCTCTATGGTCTAATGAAATTCCTTGGAAAGATGGAGCGCACATCAGCTGATCTAAATAAAAGAAAGATGCCATAAAGTCAAACAGCATAATAGGCTACTATCCGTAATATATATAAATAAGTTAAAGAAGTTATTGTACAAACACACAAAAACAATGTAACACACAAAAACAAAGCTTTCAACGGCACATATATTTTACAAAACTAAAGAAAATATATTTTCCTACATACCCTTTTGAATAACTTTGGCTTATCTTAATGAGGAATCAACTTTGGATATGATTTTAATTTCAACATCACCAGCCGCAGCACTGTCTCTGTCGCCTTTCTCTGGTTGCGCTACAGTCCGTATCCCCGGCTCCAACTTAATTAATTTTATTTTTCATTAAATAATAGCGATGCAGATAAATAGAAATAACAGTTCTCAGATAAGATCGGAGGTGTATCTATAACTACTATCAATCTATCTATAAATATTTTCATGAAATAAGATTATGCAGTCCCAATGTTAAATTAATTTATTAACTTTATTTTAATCAAAAACAAAATAAAATTGAACAATATCACACCAAGATCCCCAATAAACCTGCTTTTCAGTTGACTGCAGGCCCACAAACGTACAGACACGGTGTTTACTGCAAGTCTCTGACTAAAGGAGCTGGTCAGCTCCTCTTTTTATACAGGCTCATGCGTGAATGTCCAACGAATAACTCCAATTGTTGTTTCAAAAATAGAAAACCTGGTTTCATTCTAACTTTCATTACTTTATAAAAAAAAAAAAAATTTAAGGCAACTCGGCCACAGTTGGGATTGAACCCACAAGCTGTTAGTCTACACACCACTCAGCTTAACCACTGCGCTATAAGTTCGCAACACGTGACAGCCCTCCCAGTCTGCTAGTTGACCAGACTGGGAGGGGTGTCACGTATTGCACGGCAAGAAAGTAACACACAAAAACAAAGCTTTCAACGGCACTTATATTTTACAAAACTAAAGAAAATATATTTTCTTACATACCCTTTTGAATAACTTTGGCTTATCTTAATGAGGAATCAACTTTGGATATGATTTTAATTTCAACATCACCAGCCGCAGCACTGTCTCTGTCGCCTTTCTCTGGTTGCGCTACAGTCCGTATCCCCGGCTCCAACTTAATTAATTTTATTTTTCATTAAATAATAGCGATGCAGATAAATAGAAATAACAGTTCTCAGATAAGATCGGAGGTGTATCTATAACTACTATTAATCTATCTATAAATATTTTCATGAAATAAGATTATGCAGTCCCAATGTTAAATTAATTCATTAACTTTATTTTAATCAAAAACAAAATAAAATAGAACAATATCACACCAAGATCCCCGATAAACCTGCTTTTCAGTTGACTGGAGGGCCACAAACGTACAGACACGGTGTCTACAGCAAGTCTCTGACTAAAGGAGCTGGTCAGCTCCTCTTTTTATACAGGCTCATGCGTGAATGTCCAACGAATAACTCCAATCGTTGTTTCAAAAATAGAAAACCTGGTTTCATTACTTTACATTCTAACTTGCATTACTTTGTAAAAAAGCGATAATAATTATAATAAAAAAAAAAAAAAAAACATTTAAGGCAACTCGGCCACAGCTGGAATTGAACCCACAGTCTGTTGAACCAAAGACCACTCAGCTTAACCTCCACGCTACACACTCGCAACACGTGACACCCCTTCCAGTCTGCTACTCGACCTATGTAATTCTGACTCATGGGACGCCGAAATGGAGTCAGACTGCCACCTAGTGGCTATAGTAGTCACATGTTTTTCACACAATACGTGAAACACGCGGAGCGTGAGTGAAGTGTCCATTTCCAATCAGCGCCCACTGTACATCAAACTGTTCGATTTATGCTCAGATTAAGCACAGGTTGAGGCTGTTGATACATTAGAAGTCTGGAGGGAATTGGTTCACTGGATTATCTGAACCCTTTTTCTCAAACTTTGCTGTAATGGATTCTGCCGTCTCTTTATACACCAAAGATCTGCAACCTGTGGCTCTTTGGCTTCTCCAGTGCAACTCTTGCATATCAAATCATAAGACCAGTAAGAAGGGATGGTTTAAGCAGTTTTTCTATCACTGAATGTAATGTCTGGTAGGATGATGGGAAAAACAGAAGAGCCCCAAGTTCTTTAAACTAGGTGCCTTGTTTATTTTTAGTTGCCTCATTCTCCATATTTATGGACAAGGATGAAGTCGGCAGGCCTCGATCTGCAAAGCGGACCGAATGCTTCTTACTTTGTAAAACTTGAGCAAATGTTTTCAGTCTGAAAACATTTTAAAAACATTTATTAATTTGAGTTAATTGTTAGTTTTTCAAATTTTCTTTTCTTTTTTTTTTTTTTTTCTTTTCTTATATCAAACCTTTTTTCAGTTTTAGTCATAATTTATTATTTGCTCTTTGAATTGGAAAGATACATATTTGCAAAATGACATTTTCAAAGGAAAGTTCTGAATATGAAACGTGTTTTTGTTGTTTTCATGTCGTCCGCTGCTGGATAAGTAGTGGTAGAAATTTTATGCTTTTGCTATTTTTAACCTTCAAAAAAAATCCCAGACACGTACCGGTTTAGTGGTTTGGATGCAGAGCTGACAAACAACACCTGGATGAAAATAGATTCTGCGTTGTGCATCAGAACACTTAGAGATCTTTGTACCATGATAAAGTTTCTAGTTGGGAGGTCTTTCTGCAGCTTCCTGCTCTCGGGGAGTTTCTCATCTCTGCTGCTGTTTGTTGTTTATGTTGCGGTTTGGTTGCCCTTACCTACCACCAGGTCCTATTTGAGCAGTGTGACGTGCGCTTGCAGTTTTTGCACGTCACTACCAACTTTGTGTGTAAGCTGATGCTTTGCATGGTGTGTCTGGAAGTTTTGATCATACTAATATAAACACTGTTTTCTTTGAAGTTGCTGCTAATCTATAAAAAGTTCCAGCGTGTTGTTTCTGATTGCATCACAGTCACAGATGCTTTTGCATCAAGTCTCAGGCTGAATTTCTGCACAGCAGAGATAGATTCTTATTTTCCACAGTTAAATTATGGCTTTGCCCAGTTTTCAATGTTTTTTTTTTTATTTTTTATGTCAAATATTAGTGCCACCTCTGCACAAATAAATGGATAGAAATGTTCCTCTGCTGCTTTGCAGTAGTTTGCATTGTTTTAAAGCTTGAAATCAGAAACCTCTCAATACAATTTATCCTTTATTTCTCCTTCAACTCTTTAGTCATGGTCTTCATCGGTTTTTCTCATGCCGTGGCATCGCCCTGGCTGTGGAGACCTTCTGGAGGAGGGGCCACAGGGAGATCACAGTGTTTGTCCCGCAGTGGCGTCAGAAGAGAGACCGACTTGCTACAGGTAAAGCTGCTCTATAATGAAGACCATCTTAGCTGCTGCCATAGGGTTTAACACCTAAGACCTATCCAAGACCTCTGTTCTGTTGATGAAAATGTACTGATTATCAACAGTAAGCGTGTCTGTTAAAATAGGATTCATGGTAGACGCTGCTGTGAAGCATACAGATGTTTGAAATAATGACAAATCTAGAAAGCAATTAGTACATATTGGTTTGAGAAGTTTGTAAAACATCAACATACATCTTAAGTCCAACTTTCTTTAGAGAAAACAACTATTTTTTACCGAATGTGCCATTAAATCCATCCCAGGCTGAGGATAAGCAGTGCTCACAATAATGCCCTATATCACAAGGAGTCACATTTACAGAGTTAAAGATAGTCCAGTTGGAAAAATACAAATCTGATCGCTTTTTTTGGGAACAGTTGTAGCAGAAGTGTTTTCTTGAGGAGCAAAATGTCTCATTCATCTTGGTGATGTAGTAATAATCTTAGCCACAGTCCCTGGCTGTGTTACAGATCATAAACTGGTCTTAATAGCAAAGTATTCTAGATCAAATGTTCGTCTGGCAGAAAGAGGGAAATTATCATAATGACTGAAAAAGGAAGTAAAGCTGTTGTACTGGCCCAGTCAAAGTTCAGGCCTCAGTAACATAGAGCCTTCACAAACAGAAGCAACGTTGGAGAGAACACTGGGGTCAGTCCTCCACAATCATTTCAAAGCAGGTTAGAGAATAAAGCTGCTTCATTTTCAGACTTTCTGGATATTCTTTAGTTTCCTCCTCCTTGCAGTTTGTTTTTGTTAATTAATATCCTAATGAAAGAATCCATTGACTTATTTATAACTAAAGTAAAACTGTTCAGTTTTGATCTGAGTGATGTGGAATGGTTTGGATGAGATCTGCACAGGCTTGACTTCTTATAATGCTCAATAATTTTAAAGACAGGGCATTTTGTGTTGATTTTCTTTAGAGTTTTCTTAAGTCTCTGTCACACCTTAACAATTAGATACGGTTAGATAGCGTATGCCTGACGGACCAAAAATCTGGCAAAAACGCTGACATACATTGGATAAGTTATGGATCAGTTTTGTATAAGTGATGAGCACGCTAGCACATGTCGACATAGGTAATTTATTTTATCGTTGACATACGTTAGGTTTAAGTTACTTATAAGTCGTGACGTCTAGTTCATCCGAAACCTATGAGTAACTTATGCATAACTTATTTGTAACTTATAAAGAACTTATCCCCAACGCACATCAACATATTTGATGTGTTCCAGACAACCAATGAGCCTGTTGCTAACTTACAGCTACTGTTTAATGGTGTATTGGCAGCGTTTTGGTATGAAAGGGGTTTCACAGGAGGAAACCATCAGTATTCCTCCACATTTCACCCCCCTCTTAGGGTGAGAAGGCGAGTGTGATGGATCCTCTTTCTTTCTTTTTCTTTTGATTTACTTATTCTTTTTTATTTTATTTTTTTTTGTCGGGCGTTAAATAGCAGCTAGGTTAATATCCCGATCAAAGAAATATATTTATGTAGGCTTGGCGCCTTTAGGTGCATCGCTGCCCCCCTCATGACACTGATTTGTGACATTTCCTGGGTGTTGCGCTGTCATGCATAAGTTAGGCTGTCGTTGGACATACACTCTGGACTCATAATGAATACTCTATGCATACGCCCAAAATTGAAAAAATACATAGAAAGTTCAGCGTATGCCAGCGTTTTAGGAGATTCTTGGACGTCAGACATACGCTGGCTAAATCGTCAAGGCGTGACAGGGGCTTAACATAAAGGTTTATTCCTTGTAAGCTAATTTACTCTTTATGTAGTTAAAATTATTTTCAATTAAATCATAAAAATGTACATTTATTTTAAAATTAAAAATTTTAGAAAGCTTTGCACTTAAAAAAACAACAAACAAAAAACAACAGCCAGGAATGACAAAGCATAATGCAGGGAAATATATCAGATACTCTAGAACCCAGATCAACAGTTTTGACCAGGCATTTGGGTCCAGCTATCTTAAATTTCTATATATTATTTTTTTCTAGAACAACACTTCCTGAACCAGCTGGAAGACCTGCGACTGCTCTCCTTCACCCCGTCCAGAGAAGTCTGTGGCCAGAGAATATCTTCACATGACGACAGGTAACGGCAGTCTTTCTGAGATGAAATGAGATGTTAAAGGAGCTGCTATTTTCTTTGTTAATTAGGAAGGACAAAACTGTTTAAAATTAAACCTTTAAACAATCTTTAAATAAAACAGAGCATCCTCTTTTTGTTGAATATCTGTTTTATGCCAATCTTTAGGAAAGTTTTAGGAAATTCCTAAAAAAAAACTGGACTGGGTCGTAAATGTCTTGGGACTGAAAAATGATCCTTACTCAGCTCTTCAGGTTTCCCCTCCGGTCTTTGTGCGCTGGGAAAAACCTAAGTGTTTAATCCAAACACATCCTGTCTCCTTTTTTCCTCCCATCAGGTTCCTGCTGCATCTTGCTGAGAAAACAGACGGGATAATCGTCACCAACGACAACCTGCGGGACTTTGTCGACACCTCGGACACATGGCGTCGCATCATTCAAGAGAGGTGATTATTTGGGGATGTTTTCAGAGCTCGGTTTGTCAGAAGCTGACCTGGTGAATCACCCAGCAATATGCTGGAAAACCCAGCAATGCAGCTGCTGGATAAAGATTTATCGTTTGTTTAAACTAAAGTAAAAAAAAAAAGCGAACTGATCGCTCACACTGATCGCTTGTTTTTGGGTTCGTTTTTCTTATTAAAATGAATTTCACTTTTAGACTTTAATCTATACATCCCAGTGTTCTTAAAAGTGATTTAGTTCTGTTCCTTTATTTCTTCAAGTGTTTTTCTTTTTTGGTGCCTTTAATGGGTATTTGTTCAGAACTAAATTAATTTTGTGTTTTCCATAACAAGCAAATAAAACTGATAATAGTGAAGCTAGACTTTTTTGCTACTTCTTAATAACTTCCCAACATTTTTTCCTGTTTAGGTACTTATTTGGTAACTGTTACTGTAATTACTTTGTTACTTAGATTACTGCTTGGTAAGTTAGTCTATTGGTTATTGTTTTTTAGTTGCTTTTATGCATGTTGCTAAGACTCTTGATTTGCTGCTTGGTTAATTACAGAGTTACTAATTTAGATACATTATATTTCAGATGTTTAGTTCTTTATTTTGTTAGGTAATTTAATATATTTTTAACATTAATATTTTTACTTGTTGACGTGAGTACATAGTTGTCCATGACTTTGATACTTCAATATTTAGCCTTCACACTAGTTTCTTGTTTGCTTTCTTTGTTTCTTAAAGCTACAGTGTATCATATTCAGCAACGTCTAATAGTCAGACTAATGGGTTTTAAAATCAAAATGGAATAATATTGACCAAGGAGAAAGGGGAGAATGCTCTAAAGAAGTTTGTGAGTGGCTTTTAAAAAAAGCTATTCTACCTTCAGCACAGACACGGAGCAGCAGATCCATTCTCTCATCCTCCTCCAATGCTTACTACAGCAGCCGGTTCCTCTGATCCTCAGCAGCCCTCTTTTTATCTCCAACAGTTAGCCTCCAGAGCTTAGCCTTGGCCTGCCGTCGTCGCTTCCTTCGTTGTCTCATTGTCCTCCTCACGGTAAAACTCAACCCTCCCCCCTGCCTTCAGACCCCTATCCGCCCAGCGGGCTAATCCGATCTTCCGCTGTTCTACTTCGATCCTCCAAGGCCTCTAGCTAGCATGGGCCAGCTGTAGGCTCCTCCTCCATCAGCGCTGTTTCCCAGCAGGCCCTTCTCTGCTCCTTCGCTCTCTTCCTGAGCTATCAGCGGCTAGCTGCACCATCTGTGGTGTCTCAGCCCTAGAGTAGGGCATAGCTGGGGCAGCTTGTTTCGGTTATGGAGCTCTCTGAGCCGCTGTTATTACACTGATTGCCTGCTTCTCCCGCCTGAGCTCAGAAATGCAGTCTCGCCTTTCCTCTGTTGCCTGGGTGATTCGTCCACCTGTTTTGGGCACTCTGACTAAAACAAACATGGACCGAGGGCAAGAAAAAAATGCAAGTCCGATCAGAAAAAAATATTAAAATATCGACGATTTAAATTGGTCGTCTCATAATAACCAGGCGGTAGCTGGTCTAAGTCTGTTTCACTTAGATAATTTGGTAAATAGTATTTTGTGTAGGATTGTATTTAGGCCTAACTTGCCTCAGTCCCATTGAGCATAATCTCTGTAGTCATTAGTCTGTTCGCTCTGCGCAGGTCTAGCCAAGAGATGTCTGCCTCCACAAATACAAACCCACTGCTATGTAATTATTAACAATTTCTTAGGAAGACAAACATGAAGATTGATACTTTCAGTTCATAGGTGATAATAAATAACATACATATAGATGTATACCATTTATATTGGTGTAATTATAACGCACTGTACCTTTAAGCAGCAAAATTCCTTTTCTTTGGGTCATACTTAGACACTTCTTCAGTTATGTATGTATATAGTTAGTTAGTTATAGTTGGTTGATTTGTTAATTTCACAGTTAGTTACCTATCTATCCATCTACCACCCCTCTAACTTTGTTTAGTTTTTTACTTCTCTAATGTTTTTTTTTCCAGCTTGAGTCACTTTGGTCTCTCTTCATTTTTTAGAAGTAGCTGTGATCAGATGAGTCGCATATTTACTGAAACAGAACAGAGATATTGTACCTTGTTGTGTCCCATTTAAACAGGATTTTACTGGAGGGGAAGATTATGGAGAAGGTTCATCTTGTATCAATAACCATTAGACTATATTTAGGCTAAAGTCTCCATGATGTGTTTTGGCTGGAGGAGATCTCCATCATGACAGGAAAACGAGTTTCAGCTCAACAAGCTGATAAAACTGCTAATCTTCTTTAGTGCTATGAAGTGCTGTTTGGAAGCGGTCTGTGCAGCGCTGTGATATTTCTTAATGGTGAAATGATGCTGTGGAGTTATTACACCTTATGAATGACTGCGGGAATCCTGTGTTTTTAAACTCCACTTCTTGTGTCCTGACAGGTTGCTTCAGTTTACCTTTGTTGAGGATCACTTCATGATTCCTGACGACCCGCTGGGAAAAGACGGACCCCACCTGGACGACTTCCTGAGGAAGGATAACAGGTGAGCTGTTTGATCAGCTGGAGTTGATATCTGTCTTTCTTTCTGCAAAACGAGAAGATAACATCAGAAATCCTGTTTCTTCTTCTCCCACCAGGAGGGCTCCAGCTTCCCCCCCGCCTCTCCAGCCTGCAGACCCCCGGGCCACATCACAGCAGCAGCCCGTTACCGTCCAGACTTTTCGGACCCCCGCCACCATGACAGCTCACCCCACTGCACACTGGCCCCATTCTGGCCCTCCGGAATGGCATCCGCCCCGCCGCCCTTCCTCGCCCTCCCCATCCCCCCCGCCACAGCGCTCACCAGGGGAGACGTCAGAGTTGAAGAGGAAGCTGTATGACATCTTTCCTGACCAGAAGCAGCGAATCGACCGAATCCTCAGCGACAACCCGTACATGAGAGACCTGAACGCCCTGTCAGGGCTGCTGCTGGGCTGAAAAAACTGAGACAACATCTGTCCGTCTGTGTTAGGGTAATTTATTTGACCATTTTTTCCTCGTCGGAAGGCACCGAAATGGTTTTATTATTTTGTGGAAAGACTTATCATTAAACTAGCTGCTATCTGCGACAATGATTTCTGGGATATTTTCCTTAGTTTTTTTGTTTTTGTTTTGTTTTTTTACTTCCTGAATCATCAGGGTGAGCAGCACCGGTGTCTGCAGAACAAACGTATGAACAGTTTTCTTTTCTTCACCTCGAACAATTCTGTGTTTGTGTGAGAATGGATCTCAGCAGCCGGACAACAGGACTTTGATCGACGGTGGGGACGGCCGCTTTCAGCTCCACATCAACTCTCAAGGTTTGAAAATTTTTCTCAGTTACAGAAAATTACAGAGTGATTTGAGGTGAATGGGAAGAGGCATGTTAGCACCAAAGGCAGCACTGCTTAGATTAAGAATATCCTCTTCATTTCCAGTGATAACACCTGATTCAGTTTATATTTCACCCGTTGGAAGTCGTACTTTGATTAAACTGGTCGCCCTCATCAGCTTTCCCTTTTTTTCTTTTCTTTCTTTTTTTATTCCTGAAGCAGAAACAAAACCAGGTGGAGATCTATTCATGCAGCAGGTTTTTTCCCCTCTATTTAAAACATCCTCTAACTTTAGACAAGGAAACAAAACATTTTAAAAGAAAAAAACCTGAAACAACAATACCTGACCACTAGGTGGGGATAAGTGTTCAGCAGAACACTGCAGACTACATCAGACTATTTTCTTTCCACAGCAGACCAAAAATCAGGGCTAGTTTTGTTGTTTTGTTTCCTATCAAAGTGGTCCCAGTTCTTCTAGAGTCAGAACTGGCTCTTGTTCTTGGTTCATGTTTGATCCCCCTGCTGTTGAATTTTGAAAAGGATCTTAGAAGATTGAGATTTTTTTGAAAACACAAATTGATCAGTCTGATGCTGAAAACCTTTTAGAATATTTTTGTAAAGGATTTTTAAGACTGTCGGCATTTAGTTGCCGGCTGCTGCACGCATTCTCCTAAAACAGTGTTATAAACTGGTTCAAACAAGATCCCTTAATTCAGATGTAAATCCAGTTCTAGAAGCTGCTCTTCAAAGACGAGTTGCATTCGCTTTTTCACGCTGGATTTATTAGCCAAACCTGGCTGATAAGTAAATGGAGCATTTCCGATAGTTTCTAACAGCTCTTGACGCTGACATTTAGTTTGAATTAGATTTTTAGTCTGAATTGAAAATGTGGAGCTCAGATTAATCTTTTGGATTTGACCAAACTGATACCACTGACTGCTTGAGATTTTTTGTAAATGTAAAATGCAGTATAGATAAACTTATTAGTAGTGGCTACGGTGGGATCAAATTGGGTTCAAGTTTAGCATGGACTTGGTGCATAGGTGGAACCAGCTTAGTGCTTCTAATATAGAAATATTTAAGCACTAGAATCATTTTGGTACGGAAAGAAAACCTTGGAAAAGCTGAAAAGAACTAATCAGTCGTTGCAAAAATTAGCAGTAATGTCCGGATTAAGCTGCAAAAATTATTTTAGGTATACATAAAAACAGCAATTACAAGAGGAGCAGAGCAGCTCTATAGTTTAACTTTTAAAAATGAGCCATGTCCTGGTATTGAGCAATCAGTGATATCTAATGGGCTCTTTCAAGCTTCTGTAAAGGAACTTCTTACAGGTCAGATGAGTGAAGGAAACTACTTTTACATGACTCTTCCCTTTCAAAATGTATCTGCAAGGATTTTGATCTGCAAAGAAAATATCTGAAGTAAATCATTTCCAACTAGTTGATATTCTTTTACAAATAACCTGAGAGAATATATTTTTGCCAAGATTACAGAAACAGAATATTTTATTATTCCTAAAAATAAAAATATTTCTAAAAATCTGATTTTATTTCCTGCCAAACAATGGTTGCATGTCATTAAAAGATTTAAACAGCAAAGTATGAAAAACACTGCGTGAAAATGGTTACAGTTTTGTAGCTGTTGATCATTTTACTAGACTAGACCTTAAAGAGCATTCTGCCATTTTAGGAGGACTCTAAATCTGTTTGGAAGTAGGTTGTAGAAGCAGGATGTGGTGACATCTAGTGGCAGAAATTGCAGAAGCTCCACAAACATGTGAATGAGAACAATCTACTTAGACAATTCTATTTCAAAACATTGCTGACGTTTCTTTAAAAGACATCAGAAAACGCGTACGAATTAGACCTAGCTCTACTTACGAAACGCTCATTAATTTTCCTGCATTTTAAGTCCCACACTGAACCAGAACTTGCTGCTTTGATGATCTAAAACATCACGTTTGATGAACATGCCGTCACTTTTCCTATGTTCAGTTCTGTGATACTTGGTGACTCATGAACCCTGTTGTGGACGGAGTCTAGATGAAAAACAAACACTACAATATTTATCTTCCATGTGCATCTTGGATTGAGTCCCAGAGGTTTTTTTTTTTTTTTACGTTTGTACCAATTATAAAATGCACTGAACTTAAGCCCTGCAGAGGATAGGCAAACAGAGAAACATTTGATGTTTATCTCTTAAAAATTCATAGAGACAGTGTGGCTGCAGCTTTCGAATCTTATGTTCCTCTGGTGTTAGTTTAACCTGAACCCTTCACATGTTTAAAATGAAAGATTCAGCACAGATACCTTTTTTTGATGTTATGTTGTTGCAATGATTCTGAAGGACTGATTTTTTTTTTCCTGTATCATATTTCTTCTGTGTATATTGATTTTTGTTTGTAAATATTTGCATTTTTGCTTACAGTGCAATTATTGTTTATGATTGTGGAAAATCAAAATAAATGCAGCTGTCCCCATTGAATATCTGGTGTCATGTTTGCATTCTGTCAGATTTGAACTTGCATATTTAGAACTTAACATGTAAAAGCATTGAGGTACATTTATTAATTACATTTGTTCTTATTAGAAAATTATTTAAAAGGTTAAAGAAGGTGGACTTTTGGTAGGTGTGTCCAGTAGTGTTTACAAGATGCAAAGAAAATGAATCATAATGTAATTGTGGTGAAAGGAAAAGCCTTACTTTCCAGAGGAAAACTTTGAAGTTGAATGGATTATGTCTGACTGAAACAGCATTTTGATAAGTTTTTACACCATTATAAACATCAGATGGAAACTCAGACATCAGATGTCAGATTCTGACAATCTAAAGTTTTGAAAACTTGATTTAAATTACTTTTGTGGTCACAGAACCATCTTGCAAGTAAAGGGGATAGCTCTGGATCAATAGGTACAACTTGAACACAAGCTGACTTGTTATATTTCAGCTCTGTGTTTCTTTTCAAAATGTCACTTAAGTGTCTCAGCCTGTCATTGTGCTTAAAGAAATGTCCAGAAGTGGCCCGCAGAAGATGAGAGGTTTTTTCAAATGGACACAGTTTTTAACGTGATGAGGATGAAATTCTCATCTGCTTTTCAACCTGCTGGGGGATTCATATAGCATTAAATACAGTAGACTTCATCCAAAATCACTTTACAAGGAAAACCAATTTCATATTTAGAATAAAGGTAATGTAATTACAGCTATCTACATTGTTTTTGAGTTAATTGCATTTACAAAATAAGTATTTGGCCTAGTGGTTGGGGCATTCACTGCATGAAAAGTGGGATTTTCGTCAATATACGGCACTAGATTGTCGTGGAACTTCAGGTTAGTGGCAGTTTACGGCAATTTGCAGGCTTCGTCGAAAACTCCCGTAAATTGTCAGAAATTGATGTGGAATTTCTTAGGCAGTGTTCCCCCCATGGAATTCTAGGGGAGGCTTTAACATGTAAATGAACAAGCTGTGAGCTATACAAATGCAAACCAGGGTTGCAGGGGTGGGGGGGGGGGGGGGGTTTACCCCAAGTGACATCTTTCTAAAAGGTAAGAAAATCTCTGATACAAAGAGATCAGGCTCAGTATAGCCTCTTACATTTTAGCTTGAATTGATTTTTTTAATTAAAGTATAGAGACCAAAACAGATCTTTAGCTGACAGAGCAATACATTTAGAGCAGTAATTATTTAAAAAAAAATTTGCATTTAAGATAAAAAATAAAATGTTGTCTGTCAATATGCTCAATTCACAATTACTTAAGTGGAAAAGTTTCAAGAAATGATTCTGAGATGATTCACTTTATAACATGGCACATTATCCTGTTGGAAGTAGCCATCAGAAGATTGGTACACTGTGGTCATAAGGACATAGGTCAGCATGCTAAATTGGTATTAAGTGGCCCAAAGTGTGGCAATAAATATCCCCCAAATAGATGGTAGAAATAGATCAGGCTTAGTATACGGTAGCCTAATTATAGACTCTTACATTTTAGCTTGAATTGATTTATTTAATTAAAGTACGCTAGATTACTGTGTATGCAAATGTTATGTAAAAAAAATACACAAAATAATTTATTTCAAAAATTAGTTTTAATCAGAATCAGTTGGCTGTAATGGCGGTTGGCAAACAATTTTTTTTTTAGATTTCCACTTTTTTTTTATTTTATTGAATATATAAGAAAACAATAACAATCTCAAATAACAAGTCAATAACAAATATTTCAATACAAGAAGAAATATCACAACTCCTGCTTTTGAAAAATACAATTAAATGCACAGGCTGGAACAAAGTATAAAATAAAATAAAATAAAATAAATAAAAATAAATAAAATAATAATAGTAGTTAAAGTAAATTAATCAGTGGGGACTACCAACTGAAATTCTTCAATTAACTCAAACAATTTAATTGCATTTAAATTCTGTATCTTTCTCAGACATCTTTTGAAAAGGGAAAGTTCATTTTTGAGAGCAGAGATTGAGAGGGAGCATTTTGCATAGCGACATTTATGGATATAATACTTTGTTACAATTATTAGAATATTGATTAAAAATTCCAGATTTTTTTTTCTTTAATGGATAAACCGAATTGAATGTTTTGCCAGGAAATAAAATCTAAATTTATTGTTTTAGAAGACAGAAAGGTTCGAAGTTGATCCCATAAGTTTAATACTTCTTTACATTCATAAAAAAGATGTTTAGTTGTTTCCAATTGAGTTGTACAAAAGCCACAGTTCTCAACATTAAACTTAAATCTCTCTCTTAAAAACTAATTTGAAGGATATATGTTATTTATTATTTTAAATTGTAATTCTTTATATTTAGGAGGAATTGGGAATTTCAAATAATTTGTCCTAATTTTGACTATCATAGATTTCTTAAAATTTTGTAAGAGAGCTGTGCTTTTTGTTCTTTCTGGGTACATATTATTTATAGAATATTGATTCAAAAACTTGTTGTTGCATTTATTATCTCTAATGTCCACCTGCTCAAATTCAATCTTATGGAGTCTAGGAATAAAGGAATTAGTTAAACTGTTTTTAATAGAATGAATGAGGACATCAGGGATACTACGTAAAACTTTCTTATAAATTCTTAGTGAACAATCGTTTCTAAACTTCCTGTTAAAATCCTCCAAACGTAGAAAATCACCATTACCATTTGGCAAACAATTTATAGGTGCATTACCGCCACCTTCCAGAATGGAGCGACGCGAGCTCTTCTCGCGAGTCCTTCCGTATAACAATGACGTCGTATGTGATTGGAGGAGCCTGATGAGCCTTCGGCCCCATCGTCCAATCACGTGTGAACTTTTGTGCACTACGACTACTCGCGAGACCAGCATATAAGCAGACATGTTTGTGTTACTATACTCAGAAGAACTTCACCTCCAGTTACCGTGTTTGTATTTTGTTGTTACGTGAACAATGGCTGCACAACGTCTCGCGTTCAACTCGCCTCCAACTGCTCTTAGTCCACAACTTTCGGCCAGCCCGCAGACTGACGAGAAGAAACTGCTGATTGCTATCAGCGGACTGTCTCGTCAGCTTACCCAGCATACTGCCGACATGAATGAGCGGCTCACTTAGCTGGAGTATTCGATGCACTCCAGGTTGCCGTCCATAGAGGACAAGATGGCGGCTCTGCAGTCGAGCAACTTTGCGGGATATACGAACTCGAGGAAGAGAAGACGGGTGCACAACGCCACGCTAGCGGTAAATATATGTTCGATTACTGGTAGCTATGCTAAAAGCAGCCTAGCTTAGCTAGGCAAGCTAAAGACAACCTAGCCTAGCTAGGTAAGCTAAAAGCAGCCTAGCCTAAAGCTTTATTAAAGTGTATTTTTTGTGATTCACAGGAAGCAGTTCGCCGTCTTCACAACTCGGAGACTAATTGCAGGCGCTATGAACCGGAGCAGGGGTAAGATTTAAAGAATATGCTTTCATTCTGCGGTAAAAGGACATGGATACGGATAAATACCGACCATAGCTGTACTTTTTTTTTTCACAGACTACTGTCGCCTCACACTGAGGCGGTGACCTCCTATTTGCTCGGAGCCATCTCGGCAAGTCCAGATTTGCACGATGTTGATAAAGACGACATTGTGTGTAAGTGACTTGTTTTAATGTTTTCTCCTTCCTTGTTACTGTGACTTGCGTTTGATTTTTTTTTTATTCATACCACTCTCATTTAATTGTTTTCCAGCTGCCTGTAAGACATATTATGAGACGGTACGCAGGAGCTTCAGATACACGCAGCCAGCCAACACGCTGCGTGCGGAGGCTGCCAGGCAATCTGCTCGGAGTCGGGCCAGAAGAAAGAGGGTAAGACTTTATTATGTGACTATTTTTCAGGTGCATTGATAGATGTGTTGTGTCCATATGCAGTGCGCTGATTCATTGTTTTTTTTTCAGCTGCTGAAAGCGAGGCAGAGTGTGCTGGCAGATGAGGAAGTGGAACTCTGGAAGTCCGCCTCCGTCGACCTCATGTCCGACATAGAAGATGGCGTCGTCGGCGTGTCTCTGGATGGATTGTACGGTCGCCGCCATTTCGTAGGCCGGATCTCACTGAACTATGTGTTAAGCTGCAGTCCCGGTTAGAAGCGATGCCGAAGTACAGGGCCACGCACAGTAGGCGTCTGCACATCGGACCTGCCTCGGAGGGAATGCTGCCTGTTACCTCCAACCCCGAGGAAGCAAACGGACCGTTCACGGACTTTTAATTTTTAGAAACGCATGTGTTTGGATACGCGTTGTATATAGTTGTGTGTGTGTGTGTGTGTGTGTTTCAATAAAGCTCTTTCTTTGCATAAACAGCTTCCTGGCAAATGTTCATTTCCTGTATAAATTCATTCATGTCCTTGATGGTAGCATAATAATTGTGTAGTAGTGTAGGATAACATAAATACACACCATATGAATGAATAAATATATATATATATGAATAAATATATATATGTAAATATATATATATATGCCAACCAATCACGAGCGACTTTACTTGTTTAAAAAGAAGTGGTTCCGTCCAATACTCAGTAAGAAAATTAAAGCCTGGCGTGGCCACGTGTGGTTTTGCTGCCAATCACGAGCGATTTCATTTGTTTGAGAATAGTGGTTTCAGCCAATACTGAGAAGGTTATTCAAGCCAGACCTGGCCAGCCGCGCGGGTTTGCTGCATTCATATGCTAATTAGGGCCATTAGTACAGCTGATCGCTCTCCACATACGTCAGAGTCCGTTTCCGACAATTTGTGGCACGACAAACGCGGACAAGCACGGGTTGCAAATTGTCGGAAACTGACGAAAATCAGGCAGATCTGCGGGAGTTTATGGGGGTTTACGGGGACGAAAATCTCACTTTTCATGCAGTGCCCCAGATTAAAAATTATCGGTCAGGGATTAGGAAAACTGGCATAATCGTATGCCATGCGCACAGTGTAAATATGGCTATCATATGGCAGTCTTCTGTACAGTGATGCAGGTCATACATT